AGCCCCGGCCCCGCCCGTGGCACCCACCGAAGGTGCGGCGCTGCTTAAACGTTTTCTCCGACGGCATGGCGCAGGGAGGCTGGGCGGGGGCGACGACGCGGAGGGTCCCGGCTTCTTCCGGAGGCGGCGGCGACGGATCCGACCGTGGCGACAGCGGCTTCCCTTGTGTCTCCTCAGTCCGCAGCCGCGTCAAGTGACCGGCGCACCGCCCCAGGAGGCAGGGCCAAGGGCGGGCCGCCGCCGCCGCCATAGCGTGCGTGGCGGAAGCTAGACCGCGCTCAGAGCCGGAGGCGGGGTTTGGCCCAGGGCGCGTGCGTAGCTGGGAACACACCGTGCGCGTGCGCGCCCGGGTAAACTGCCCGGGTTGGGGATGCTTCAGTGGGCCTGCGGTAGGGAGCGCCAGCCTGGCGACCCGGCAGTCTGCACTGCCCTTCATCCCCGCGGAGACGCGTAGGTGCGATTCCCCCCCCCCCGGGGTCCCTGCGGCGTGGTGCCGTCCCCCGAAGCCAGCTGCTCTGCGTTAACGCGCTAGTGTTTCCAGCGCTCTGTGCTAGCGGCTCGTAATATTTCAACCTGAAAATAGTGGTTTTGTGCGCCTATCTCACGAGTTGTCACCGATCTAGGAGCTGCTTTTTGTTTTCGTTGGCTTTCCAGATCAAGCACATTCAATTTTTTCTTTTTTTTTAGGAATCTCCACTGATTACTTATGTGTCCGAACTAGGAAAAGAAGTGCAACTGCATTTGTGTCAGGTTATGTTTAATAGAATGTATCCTTGGAGAAAGTCTAAGGATAATTGTTTTTGTCTTCAGGACTTCATATTGGGTGAATTCCTCGTTTGACACGATGCTACAGCCATTAGGTGACTTGTGGATGGCACCTCGAGCTTTGATGATTTATGTGTACCCACCCGTACGTTTCTGTAGTGGGCCTGCCTAACATCATTAGTCTGCTGGTTTCATTTAAGATTTTCCAGTTTCAAATATTGAATCATTCATATTCATCCCCCTCAGTCTTTCAACCACGAACTGAGCAACCTTGAATAAGTAACCATTTTTCTGAGTCTCAGACTCGTTTGTAAAAGGACAATAATATTTTAGAACTCCAAGTGTTTTGTGAGGAGCAAATGAAAGTGGCCTGTAGAATCTAGATCACTATGCAGTTATCAGTTATCGCCCATCTCAATGTCTGATGAACATACATTTGTATGAAGAGCACTTGATTGTTTGGCTGTTTTTCCTCTTTAATATCTAATGCTTTGAAATATTTCCAGGCTTTATCCCCTTTTGAGTTTGTAAAAGCCTTTCTTATATGCCTCTTTGATGAAGTAATTGAATTGTGCTAATATACATTATTATAGAAACATACAAAACATGTTAACACATATTTCTCAAAGTGGTTTTAATACAGCTGCGATTTCTTTTTTTATAGAGGAGCAAGTATGTTGTAGATCCTTGTATAATTATTCCCCACCACCAAAACAATGTTAGTTGTAGATTTTTACTCTGCCACTGTTTACGAAAGAACAGAGAGCATTTGTGCATGCGTCACCTTCTGTCCTAGGTTTTTTTTTTCCTGTCACAGTTCTTCACCTTGAAAAATCTGATAGTATACAGCTAATAAAGAAGAGTACTTAGACATTCTATCTGGTTTCCAAAATTTCAAAGGAAGGTTTTAAACTCCAAGTGTTTTGTACTTGGTTGTTTTGTACTTACTCTGTGAAGACTGAAAACAACAACAACCAGTAAGTGTTTATTATGTACCTACCTTGTGCCAAACACAAAATGATCAGTTTTGAAGTCCAGAGAGTAGATTATATTGCTTGCTTTTCTGGATTTTTATGATATTAAGTATTGGCTGGTGAGTGCTATTTTGGCTTAAGTGCTACTTTGCAAGAAATGGACTTTTCGTTCTCTTGCTGGACAACTGTTCGAAATGCAAGAAGAGGGGGAAAAATCAATTATCTGGCATATGGAGGTTGGGGGAGGGGAAGCAGAGTTTCATATTTTCCTGGTCCCTTAGGCATCTATAAAGCTTTACCAAATTACCCCAGCCCTTGGGTTCACTGCCATAGCCTCAAGGGATTAGCCTCAAGGGCTGTGCTAATGACAGGACACGGTTCTTCTGTGATTTTCAAGTACTGAAGTCCACATTTGCAGTGGCTGTTAGAGTCCTACCCCTAACTTTGAATTCCTACTTGATTCTAAAACAGCATATTCCTACGTGTTTCTTAGAAAATCATCCAGTACAGTTGGTGTGTAAAGGTGTCTCATAAGCATAACCTCCATTTAAGACTAGTAAATTCAAATAAATAATATATAAATAATATATAAATTGTATTTAAAATAATTTATATTCATATACAAATACATATAAATTAAGAAGTAACTTTATTTAACTTTTGAAAGTAAGTGTGCTTGGGTGGATGTGAAAAACTTCATGTGCCCCTAGATTGCAACTTAATAGAAGTTTGATGTAGTGAACAATATTTAGAGTGGTAAATTAATATTCATGAATTACTTTAAGCTAGTTAATATAAGTGTAGTCTGATTTATTTTTAGATAAATAACATAACTATTACTGTTTCTTGAAATAATCCATATAAAGTAGGAAAGCAAGAACACACCTTTCATTTAAATTCAGTATTTTCTTCAGGAATCTCATGGTGCTTTTGAACCATCAAATAATCATTCTAGAACGCCAAGCAGTGTCAGTTTTAAATAACTCTCACCCTATTCCTTTTTCATAACATAAAAAGACCATAAAGGACCATACTCGTGGGGGAAACAATGTAACTACTAAAAATTGAATGATGTCCCAGCCTTAGTGATGTAACATAGCTGTAAATCATGCTGTCTAGCTATTTCTAAGAATCTGTTAAATGGGGCATGAAACATTAACCTGCAGTCCAAGACACAGTCGTGTTATTTTTGCCACACTCAACATGGAGGGCAAGTCATACTGAGAATTAGTTCACCTCCTCAGGCCAGCCTGGCCTGTCCCACCTCTCCTCTTTCTGATTGGAAGAAATATTCCACCTTCAAGGTTGTCTGCGCTACTACTGGCCAGTTGTCTAATCAGTCGTGTGTCATCTTTTTGCTCTTTAGAACAAGTAAATAAACAAGTATTGCTCAAGAGAAGTGCAGGAGCTATTCTCAGAAAGGATTCAGTCAGGAGGATTTTTTAGTTGGCATGCAATAGATGCAGTCTGTGGGAGTGTCTTCCCTGGTTCCCCTGAGGTTTTGCCAAGAGAGGCGCGGTGTTGGAGTACTTCCTCTCAGGGTGAAGCTCTCCCTCTGGGGTGCGACTTCAGAAATCAGCAAACTACTGCATAATTCACTGATATAACCTAATATTACTTCTTAAATGAGCGAATAACAACTAATGGAACTGGCTGACATTCACCTTTTTGTTTGTTTGTTTGCTTGTTTAATTCTAAACAAATTACAAAGGATTGCTGTTTTTCCAGCTTTTGCCCATATCTGGGACTATTAAGGGATGCATCTGTTTAGACTCTCGTTTTAAACCATGAACCTCTTGTTTAGCCTTTCATTATTTTCCCCTTTTTTCCCATTCACCTTGACTGTTTCTGCTGAGCAGTGGGTAAAATAACACTTTTCACATCTGGATTCTGAGAACCAGCATGGGTAAAGTTAACATGGTTTGCTTAAGTCCAACAATCACTACTTTCAGTGACTTTTCAGGCAACCAATTGAAAAACGCCCTGCCCTGTATTCTGCTTATTTCCTTAGATGTTATCAGTCCTTACTAACAAAGAGTTCATTATTGTCCTCTCATAGTGTTAAAACAAATGATCTCTTCTGTGTAGTTTTTCCTCATTTTTGCATGAATGCACCCTCCTTAGTGTCCTGTATACAGTTCTGCATAAGGGATTGCAAAATTGTTCAAGGACATATGAAGTTTTCAGGGTTCAACATGTAACCGTTCTCAGTTACATGCAAAGTCTTTCCCTTCTGGTTCCTTTCCACCAACATGGATCAGCCAAGCTCTCACTGCCATCCTTTCTGTTCTGATTGTCTGCACTAATTCAATCCTTCAACATCTTGGTGGGTTATTGTACACAGCCTTCCTGCTGTCAAGACTTTGCAGATCTATCTTTCAACTGTATAGCTGCATCATTCAAATTATGAACAAAGAATCATTGAACCATTCTTCTAAAGATGTAAATTTAACCAAATTATTTTGTACATTTTCATATACTCTAAGGTCCTCTAGGAGACAATTTTATTTTAGTAATAGGGCCTAGTAGGGTGTAGATAGGTTTTTTAAAAATAACTTACTAAAATGTAACAGTGGCATGGGTCATGCTTTAGAATCTATGGATCCTCGCAGAACATAGCACATTGGCTAGTCAGGCATTCTGTAAATGTTTATTATATTACTTGATGCATTGCTGCTTGCTGAGATACTTCCTAGCCTGGATGGTGATAACCCACCCGTCTTCTCTAAGTCTGTTTTGCTCACGTTCCTCCCTGTTTAGCCTTTTAGTCGGTTTATTTGTTTGTTCTCTTTTTTTGTTCAACAAAACTTGTAGTCAGTAAACATTCGTTGATTACATGAAATGGTAGCATATATATCATGTGACGGGTTACATCAGGTAAAGCTGGTGCCAAAGGAAGCCAAGTGTTTACAATAAAACAATAAGATGGTGTTATAATAAAGGGGACAACCTTCCTAGAAGGGGGTGCCATTTGAGGAGTAGGAGGCAGGGGGCTGGTTTTGATGGCATGGACTGGGGAAATGGGACTTCCTGGCAGAGAAGAGAGACAGCTTGAGCAAAGTGACAGAGATGTGACAGGGCATGGTAAGTTTTGGCTGAGGAATTTGATGGCTCCCATTGAAAGATGGGTGTGGGGAAGGAGAGGAGGCCAGGCTAGGAGGTTAGGACCAGATTGTGAGCTACTTTGATGTGGTAAGGAGTCAATGGGGCCATTAAGTACTTTTAAATAGGTAAGTGATGGGATGAGTCTGCTTTTGTTTATGTTACTACAGAGGGTGCCAAAAAATTTTACACACATTTTAAGAAAGGAAAACTGTATTAAAATTATAATACTCAATATATTAAAAAAAACAAAAGGTAAATACAAGTCACGTTTGACTTCTGCAATTACAAGAGGTGCTCAAAGTGATTACCATCAGCGTCCAGACACTTCTGATTACGGTGAACTACTGCTTGAGCAACGTTGACCAAAGTGTCTGCTTGTATACATTTTTTGGCACCCCCCCATATTTGAAGGAAGAGAGTTCTGATAACTGTGGAGGATGGATTAAAAAAACTAGATGCAGGGAGGTCAGTTTGGTGTTGTCTTTCAATTGTGTGGAACTGAGATAGTGAAAATTTGAACTAAGGTTTTATTTTGCACTTCTCCATTGATGAGATTCTGTGGACCAGGGTAGGCAGCCCCCTTTTCTGCTCAGAGGTTTCCTTAAGGAGGTGGTAGTAGATAGCCAGGAATTTGTGGAGGCTGGGCACGGGAACTGGCAGGGTCGCTATGTTCTATTAGATTAACAAAACCGACACTTGACCAGAAACGCTGGAATGGTCACTGGATTCTTAGCTTCCATTTCAACTGTGGGAAACTCCTCCAGCACTTTTCAGGGCATGGAAGTAAGTCTTGACTAGAAAGGAGTTGGACCCACCAGTTATAGAGCTGCTTCGGTAGTATCCACACCCCTGGCCCTCCTCTCTGGAAACAACTAATAACAGTTACTTGTTATGAGCTATTTAAGGTTAAGCCACTGTCACGAGGTGGCTTTACAGATTCTCTAGAACACACGTGCCCTGAAGCACAGTAAACAAGATAAGGAGGGCACAACAAGATCACGAGAGATGGCAGGATTCATCACCTAGCATGATTTCCCCTTTTCAAGAAGGGCAGAAATGAGTGAATGTCAGTTTTTAGGTAAAAGAAAGCTGATAGGCACAATTCAGGGTTCTATTTGGCTTACCTAGTTCAGAGGGCTTGTAACAGTTTGCTTCGCTCCACCCACCTAAACAATGCCTTCTCTGCGAAGCAGTCCAGGGGGCCGGCCCTGGAGCCTTCCTCCGGGGGTTCCTGGGGGTGTCCTTGGGGCCGTCCTCAGGGGGAGGTCCTGGGGGGTGTCCTCAGGGCCGTCCTGGGGGGCGGGGTCCTCAGAGATGGTCCTGGGGTGATTCACGGGGAAGGTCCCCTGGCCCGTCCTGGGGTGGGGGTGGTTTCCAGGGCGGTTCTGGGGGGAGGTCCTTAGGGGCCATCCACCGGGCAGCAGACGCACCCGAAGGCGTCCCAGGGTGGGGGGTGACTGCCATGAGCCCCATACTCTGGACGGTGGTGAGTTCCGCCCTCACACAGCGCACGGAGTCGTTTTGTTGCCCACACGCACCTCCTCAATCGGGAAGGGGCGGCCGTCCAGTGTTTGTGACATTCTTTGTCCGTGCTCGGTCTGGGAGCGGTACTGGAGACCCGCAGAACTCAGGTGGGCGGAGACCAGGGCCGCCCGGGGATTCCCTGGGCGCGCGGAGAGGGTCCTGTTGATTACCCCCTCTCCAGTGGGCGGGCCTCCCCAGGATGAGATCTCAGCACATTCCTCCGGGTGGGCGGGGCCGGGGCGCGACGGCAGCGTGGGGGCGTGGCTCGGCTTTGGTGGGGCGGAGCTGGCCAACAGCGGCGCGTGCGCAAGCCGCGGCGGCTCGGCGGCTGTCACTCGGGCTGGCATGGCGGTGTGCGCTCGTCTCTGCGGCGTGGGCCCGTCGCGGGGATGCCGGCGCCGCCAGCAGCGCCGGGGCCCAGCCGAGACGGCGGCGGCCGACAGCGAGCCGGACACGGACCCAGAGGAGGAGTGCATCGAGGCGGGTGCAGCGGTGCTGTGTGGGGCGGAGGGCGGCCGGAGCGCGGGCCCCTCGTCGCCCCCGCGCTGCTCGCTGCTGGAGCTGCCGCCCGAGCTGCTGGTGGAGATCTTCGCCTCGCTGCCCGGCACCGACCTGCCCAGCCTGGCCCAGGTCTGCACTAAGTTCCGGCGCATCCTGCACACCGACACCATCTGGAGACGGCGCTGCCGGGAGGGTGAGTGCGCGGTAGTGGGGGTCCGGGCCTGGAAGGGGGCTCGGGCCTGGAGGGGGCTCTGGACGGTGCTCCGGGAGGCGGGGATCCGGGCCTCGGAGGGGAGTCGGAGGTCTCCAAGGACCCTGGACAGGTACCTGCCATAGGTTGGGGGCCCAATGGGCAGGATCCTAGCTGGTCGGGGGTTTTGGTCCTGGAAGAGACTCGGGGGCTCGGGTCACCATGGTCCCTGGACGGGGGACCTGACACAAATCAGGGACTCCAGGGGGCGGGCCCAGCTGGACGGAGGCGGGGGTGGGGGGGACCGCCACAGATTCGGGGCGCGGCGTCCAGGCGAGGTGGAGTTCCCGGTGGGCATTGGGGTGCTCAGAGAGGGGTGAGGGGCCCCCAGCTGCGAGGACAGGATGCCCCCAAGCCAAGGGGAGTTATTCCAACTGGGGCGGGGTGTCCCTGTGAGTACGAGACCCTGGAGGTTTAGGTCGGAGAGTTAGTTGACGTCTGTGGGCGCCCTCCACCTCCCCAGCCCTTGGGATGAGGAGAGCAGTGAGGGTGAGCTTGAGTAGTTAGGGAGCATAGGGGGCCGAGTGTTTGGAGGGTCTCTTGAGGGGAGGACCAGGTCTGTGGACAGGTGGGTGGAACAGGGCAGTGCTGCAGGCGTCGCTGTCCCCTTTAGGGATGCTGGTGGCAGTAGTGAGTGAGCGAAGTGAGTAGTTTTGTAACACATCCCAGGAGGAATTATTTACTTAATCCAGAGTGCAAGTCTCTCTGGTTTAAACGTTGACAGATCTCTGATGTTCAATAAGCTCTCATATTTTGGTAAACAGGATAGGTAAGAAAAAACCTGAACAACGCAGAACAGCAGAAGGATGAAAGTAAGAACCATCAGAGAGCCCTGCAATCAAAGATAAGCCACCCTTAAAATTTTGGAAAACATCTCTCCGTATACACATGTAGAGTCATGGACATGTTTTTACTTAGTCTTTTTTTTGTTTTGTTTTTTTGTTTTTTTTAGCTGAGCCATCCTGCTACCTGTTGGCAGCTCAGCGGCTGCTCAGCTCGGGCTGGACTCGAACCGCTGTTGCTCAGAGCTCAAACTCTTGAGCGAGCTCTTAACCAACTGAGCCACTCAGCCAGCCCGACACGTTTTTACTTAAATGAGATCATACCATATATATTCTCTTAGAGACAGTTTAAAATAAAAAAGCTTCATACTACTCCACTGCATGCATATGCCGCAGACTAGTCCCTTACTGATCGACTTTTAAGTTTGCAGTTTTTTTCTTGTCATAAACAGTGCTATCAAGATTGCCTTTGTGCATTTCATAGGACTTGATGAGACTTAAATGTACCTTTTAGAACTTCTCAGATTACCTTCTTAGTGTGTGCTTCCCAAGGCAGGGTCCTGCACATTGATAACATCTTAGATACCCATTGCCCTAGCTGTTGGAATTTGTACCCCAATCCTCCCCAACAAGGGGATCAGCCAGTCATCTCTCTGCTATAAAGTTCAATCAATGGCCGATACTTTGGATTTGTAGTCAGCAGGGCAGGCTCTGTGTATCTGCTGAGAGATCGTGGACATGCTGCTTCACCGACCAAGTGTTAGTGGGAAAGTACTGTCCCACAGAGTTGCTTTGAGGGTTAAATGAGATGATGCATCTGAAGCCCTCACCCTGTAAATGGTAGGTGTTTAGTTATCATGCTTCTCTGCCATTTTTATTTCACCTCTTGTGAGTTCCGTGTGTGTGTGTGTGTGTGTGTGTGTGTGTGTATGTGTGTGTCTTTTTCTCTTCAGGATTCTATTTTTGTCTTACAAATTTTAAGAACTCTTTAAATATGAACAGTATTCACCTTTTGTCATTTTTGTTGCAAGTAAATATCTTTTGACGTGAAAACAGAAGCAAAGAAAGTTCCACTTTTTCTTTTGTGATTTCTGTTTGCATTGTTTTGCATTTTGTACTCCTGTAAGACCCAGGTTCATCACAAATGTTCCATTATGCTTTGAGGAATTTCTCCATCAGTCAGCCAAACCTGTGTGGTGGTCTCTGGGGAACTGTAAGGTATCTAGATCAGCTCTAGGAATGGAGGGTAACCGAAGACTTTCGTATCAACAGAAAACTCAAAGGTATGCCACAGAGTAAAATTAACGAGTTATATCTCATGGTAAATTCTGAGAATTTCTAATGGAAATATAAAAAGTCCCAATGAAGATGTAGAAAGAAGTTGAACAGACATAGAAGGACTCTTCAGTCTTTCCTTTCCCACTGCTGCATTTCTTACTTCACCTTTCCTGGGACAATAGATACCGTGATGGTGGAACCCAGGCATCTTGTTTACTGAGGTGGCCTAACATGCCTGAGGGATTTTTCATTTTGAGAAATTAAAAAAGAGAAAGATAAATACGATAAAACAGGCATATTCATAGTTATCCCCTAATACATAACTGTTAAGTCTTGTCACCTTGCAGCTGCCGACTCGAATGCTCCTGCGCACTGATCCTTTGAAGTCATAAGGAAGTGTCTTGGAATGCTGAGACCCGTCGGAATGATCTTGGTAAAACTTCCTTATCAGGTGGTCTCAGAATGCTGACGCCATCCAGAGGATCATACGCATGTGTGAAAGCACAACTCCGTGCTTAATCACAATGAGTTTCGGTGAAGCAGCTGCCAGTCTAATTGAATCAATTAACTGGGTATAGATATTCAAATTGACCTTTGTGACCGTTGTAAATAAAAGCTTTACCCCCACCAGTATCAGGGCTCTGCTCTCTCTCGGTCTGCAGAGAGGAGACCCCTGGCCTGCAGAAACTCTACTTTTGACTCTTGTGATTTCTTAACCCTTCGCCGCCCCTCCTTGGGCCCCCCAGCCCTTGTCATGTGGGACGTGATAAAGTCTTATCATATTTGCTTTTGGTTCCTCTGCTGTTTTTTAAAAAAAATATCTCAGGTAACACTCAAGTCCCTTCTGATCATCACTGTCCTTCCCACTCCAAGAAGCAGCCACTGTCGTGGGTTTAGTTTACTTGTATATACATATACCTATATACATCCACCAATATATAGCATTGTTTTGTGGTGATTTCATTTTTAGAAATATACTGTAAGTATTGTGCATCTGCTTTGCCCCCTGTCAATTTGTATTTTTAAGTTCTGTCCATGTTACTACATTTAAGTCTGGTTCGGTCTTTTTAAATGTTATCTGGTGGTTTATAATTTGAAGAGGCCACACTTTTGTTCTTTTGCTTATTTTTATTTTTTTCAAGATTCCCAGTGTGAAAGTGAACAATCTCATATGTGCTTCCTTGGATGCAGATCATTTGAAAATTTCTCCAAGGAATAATCCAGAAATGGTGTTGCTGGGCAGTGGGCTTTGAGATTTGCAATTTTACTAGATACCTCCCAGTTATTTTTTGGAGTGATTTTACCTGTTTACACACCTGTCACTAGGGCATGAATAGGCAACTCACAAAAGGTGAAATACAAATGCTCAATGTGCATCATCACAAAGCAGCTGCCTTTTGTGGTCCAGGTACTTTAAGTTATCTCATTTAATCAAATATTTGCTAAATTCTCTCTAATGTGAACGATCCATCTTTAAAAATCTATGCCAATCTGGATGAGAAGCAGCATCTCATTTTAATTTGCATATGCCTGAGGATGCACATTTTAAAAATGTAGTTATGGCAATTTGTATTTCTTTTATTTGCTTATCCCTGATCTTTGCCCTTTTTTTCCTATTATTTTTTCTTATTTGACTTGTAGGTTTTATTAACTTCAACTGGATAGATTTCTGTTTAATATGTTACAAAACATCTTGTAGTCTAGTCATTTGCTTTTTTCTTTTTTGATAATGACTTTAAGTGTCCTTTTTTTTAATGGTTCCAAAATTTTATTTTTATTTAAAAAATTTGTTTTTCAGTTACAGTTGACATTCAATATTATTTTATATTAGTTTCAGGCATATAGCATAGTGGTTAGACATTTATATAATTTATGATGTGATTCCCTCCGTTAGTCTAGTGCCTACCCAGCGCTATATGTAGTTGTTGCAACATTGTTGACTATATTCTCTATGCTGTACTTTACATCCCCATGACTACTTTGTAACTACCAATTTGTATTTCTTAATCTTTTCACCTTTTTCACCCAGCTCCCCAACCTCCTCCCCTCTGGCAAGTTTGTTCTGTGTATCGACGATCGATCGTGTTTCTGTTTTGTTTGTGTGTTTCTGTTTTGTTTGTTCATTTATTTTGTTCTGTAGATTCCACATATAAGTGAGATCATGTGGTATTTGTCTTTCTCAGTCTGACTTATTTCACTTAACATAATACCCACTAGGTTCATCCATGTTGTCACAAATGGTAAGATCTCATTCTTTTTATGGCCAAGTAATATTCCATTGTATACATGTACCACATCCTCTTTATCCAAGCATCTATAGTCATTTTCTTTTTAACTTCATTTATAGTGACTTTTGTGAAAGCTACAACATTAATCAAAGTTACAAATTTTTACCTTTAGGTTTAAGTAATCATTGTCATCCCAAGTTTATGAAGATGGTCAACAGTTCGGTCTTCAGTTTCAATAGTTCATTCTGGTAGCTTTAATTTCCAGCTCATCTAGGTAAAAAATTGGACAGTCCCATGTGGTGGTATTCGTAGGTGTCTTGTAGAGTTGGCGTAATGTAGTTGGACTATATATAAGAATAGTTGTTTATGAGACAAGTCTGGTCTTATTTCTCTGAGCCCTAAAACTTCATCTTTTTTGAACTAGACATTTGGTTATAGTGGATGTTAATAAGGCCAAAGTCAAGTCCATGTACGTAAAAACCAAAGCCCTCCCAGCAGGAAGGTGAGCAGGAAGTGCATCTCAGGCTGGTTGAGGTGGGTGGTCCTACAGATCAGGTTTCCTGGAACACAGCCTCCAGGTTTGGCCCTGACATGGGTATAATGGTGGCTTCATTTTTTTTTTTTTTTAGTAGCTTGGGAGGGTGAGTGAGACTAA